TTAGTAGCTATGCGCATAATGCGCATATATGTGTGCGCATATATGCGCGCATAATGCGCATAGGCACATCTCTAGTCGTGACATCTGTGTACTATCAAAAATTGGCAGTATTATTATATCAAAAGTATGAGCCAACCATAATGCAGCTTTTTTATGTGTTTCATCCACCAACAAGCATGGGCCCGTTTCATAGAGTTGCGCTTTTTGGCTGATGCTCTAGTGGTGCATGATATAGAAACAGGTAGAGACACACAATACGATTGATATCATTGTCACCAATATTTCCATAGCCAATTGTGGGTGAATACAATGTGAGAAAGGTTTGGACACCGAGATCAATGGCTGCAACATGGATTCCTTCCGCTTGGTTTTCGCGGATGAACTTTCCATATATGTTCGATGTCCTAATTTTTTCTCGTACATAAGCTTTGAATCCATTGTAACGTTTCCAGTTTCATTCGGCCAACCGTTGTTGGATCTTTGACATTCATGATGAAGTGATGGATTAGCCAAGCCCGATGTGGATGATCCGGATCAACAGCAAGAAGCGTCTTGTTATGTAATAACCGGAGGTAAAAACGAAGTGGTTCCCGACAGTACTGAGCGTGGATAGTAATGTTATCTTTATTTCTTTTTGCAAATTTTCAGCTTTCATGTCTGATTTTAAACAAAACGTTTGCATAACGAAAGATGATTACGTTTGCCTTATCTTCCTTCATAACTATTAAATTGTATTATTGGAAATGTTAATTTTATATTAATAGCTTGAACTCATAGTAGTTCATAAATATATTTTAATTAAATATAAAAACATCTTGAGGCTTATCTACTTTTAAATTTGAATCTATATTTAATATTGAATTGCAGTGTTGGCGATGATCAAATGACCTCGCCTCTCGAATGTCATATATCCTCCATGAAATTAGCCAACATTAATTGAAAGAACATCCTTCGAGTTAACATTAGTAAAGTATAGATTTCAATATTCTTTCTTCTAATTCTTTTAAATCAATTTGGTAAATTTTTAAGTTACATATATATGTTATGTCGCCACTTGATTCTATGTGAAAAATCATTTCTGATCATAATCCAGTAAAAATCAAATTTTTTGTAAAAAACTGTTTTTTATAATTAGATTAAAATTGATTTTTGTTAAATTCTGGCAAAAATTATTTTTAATGTCTGATAAAAATGGATTTTTATTTGAAATTTTACAAAAAGTTGATTTTATCAGATATTAAAAAAGTCTTTTGCCATAATTTTATAAAATATCTAGAAATTAAGAGTGTCTAACAATAACATTTTAAAAAAATTAAGGAAAATACAGGGTTTAATAAAAAAGGATTTTGTTTGTCAAATCCCTTGAATTGTGAATTTCATATTTTTAGATTTTAGATACTAAGTTAGATTAACAATATCAATAAAACTGTGAGTAAGATTCTTTGCATGATAGAAGATTCTCCTATCTTTACGCGCTATCATTTGTATAAAAAACCTTTGTATAATAAAAACTAGGAGCAAGATTCTTTGAATAATAGAATATTCTCTTTACCTATCCGCACTGAGAATCATAATAATTAAAAAAACCTTTGTATAATAATCCCCAGAGATCTAAAGAAATTTGAAATGAAAAATCCAAGGTAAATGCAAGGAATGACACGAAATAGTACAAACAAGCACGGGCAATGCAAACATTTCCATTTATATAAGCACATTTTTCAGCACGAAATCACATGCATAAGCACGGATCGTGCTTTTCCATGCCAAGAACACTGTTCCCGAAACATATTTACGTATACGAATTTGTTGCGTTTTCCATGCTTGTACGTATTATTTCATCATTGCAATTCTTGTGCTTTTTAATATGGTAGCCTTTGCCAAGAAGTTCTAAGAGAGATTGTTGATAAATCAATTGACCTATATAAAAGGATCTATTTACAACATTGTGGGTTAAAGGTAGAGATGTTAAAAAGCTTCATGGAGTCGGTCTTTTGAGTCGGTTTTGGCCTGAGACAATTTCAATTCGAGGGACCAATCCCAAAAATCACATCGTGAGATCAGATGCTATCCTATAACGTAATTATTTCTTGAGAAACAAAGAATTACTGTATTTAAAAATTCGGAATAAAAGAATTTTTAAATAATTTAAAGAATATAATTTGTCTCAAAGCAAAATCGGTGTTTTTACTTAGTTAACAATGTTAAAGAATATTATTTATTTAATTACAAAAGAGCCCGATTTTAATAATTATAGATTAAGTCTCTATTATAGAATAAAAACGTATTGTAAAAATATCGAATACATATCAATAAATATTTTTATGTAATAAAACTGCATATCACACGACGAATGAGTTTATACTTGAGTCAGACTTTAGACCGAGTTATTAATCAAACTCGACTTCTAGAGTCTAGTTAACCAGACCGGACTTTTAACGTCTCTAGTTAAAGATAATTATTTAAAAGCAGATTTGTACACAAGCAAGACAATTATAGAATTAGAGCCTTAATTTGATCTTTTGCAAACTATTCCATTAAATTTGGATAAGATTACTAAATAAACTATTAGATAAAATATGTCAATTTATTGGGATAAATTATTATAATAATGATAATGATAATGATAATGATAATAATGATAATGATAATGATAATGATAATGATAATGATAATGATAATGATAATGATAATGATGATGATAATGATGATGATAATAACAACAACAGCAACAACAACAACAACAACAACAACAACAACCATAATAATAATAATAATACTGTAGCAAGAAAGTATTATACTTGTAACAATAAGGTTATTAGTGGCACAAACCGCTTTGTCTATACATGCAATTATGTAATTAACACAGTTATATGTTCAAAAGATTAAGGATAGAAGAAAGTTAACTTAAAAAAATATCAAAAAATATAGCTAAAATTTCTTCTTCCGATTGAAATAATGGCGAAAACATCGGCGACAAATTACTGGTGAACGATGAAGCATCAATTAAGTCATTATCATCACCGTTTTCAATAGTTATGTTATTTTGAGTTTCATCGTTATTTTCAAAGAAAAATACATTGGTGCTCGAATTTTGAATATCTGTAAAATTATTCACATCATGGTCTTGATAATTGTGAATTGCAAGATTATTCGTATCACCTTGTTGATTATGCATGTAAATGGCTGCCGAAGATGATAGAGGCGCATCGATCTTTATTGCTTCATGGGGTGAATTGAAAGTTAAAGATGGTGAAACGTTGAATTGTGTTTCTTGAGGTGAATTCAGAGGCAAAGATGACGGTTCGTCTATTTCTTGGGGTGAATCGAGATTTATTTTCTGTTCTCGAAAAATAAATTTTTTACCGCCTGAATTTTTCGTCGGATTATATTTATAACCGGGATACATACGTCTATGATTCTCGTAAGCTATCTTTGCCAATATTTTGAAAAAACGCCTGATTTCACTAGGTTGTGATTTCCACTTTATGCTGCATTCCCTTGCAGTATCCTTAATTTTTAGTTTCGCATCAAGACTACGTCGACGTATATTGGCTTCATAATCCTTCCGAAATAAAATCCAGCTGTTTTGTGGTCGTGGCGGTTTGTCATAAATACCGCGTTTTTTTTGGGCAGGTTTGGTTAATTCTTCAATTGGGAGGGTTAGGATATAAGGACAATCGTTCAGAAGCTTTCTTTCAGTATCTGATAAATATTCAATATTGTTCATTTTTTTTCTGAAGTTGAAAGTGATGAGATAACAACAAATTTATAAAAAAATAAATACGCGACAAAACAATATCAAGTTCAGCATCAGATACATTTGTATATAAAAGAATTTCTTGGTAAAGTCAGAAATAAATAATTGTTAAATTTTAGTAATTTTACAATCTATGAAACAAGTACGTAAATGGCCGAGCTGTGACATTGTAAATTCCCATATTGAGAAAGAGTGGATTTAACAAATAATGTTAAGATTTGAAACTTCGGTTTTTGTATCGATATGTATGAATGCATGTAGATTTTACAAACATAAAAATCTAGATTATCTTTATATAGTAAACTCCCGCAATAGTCACATCCGCATTTGTCGAAATTTTTATAGTCATATATCGATATATAAACTTAACCCCCGCTATAGTCACACGATGTGACTATGAATGCATTATCGCGATGGAGATTTTCGAAATAAGACTAAATTACTTATTTAGTGTTTGAAATCCAAACCGTTAATAGCTACGGCTTAAAATCATTTGTTTCGTAACATTATCGATTTTTACGGACACATTTATGCAAAACTATGTCAGGAAATATGTTCATATTAGAGGACATTAGTTTAGTGATGGCAGCCAAATACTACAATTAATTAAATCACCTGAAATTAGTGTTGGTAAATAAAATAATTGACAAGGTTTTAGTTTTAATATCGTATTTTCCTACGTCTCATATCATTAAAATTGAATGGTGTCCGGTGTACACCACAATAAATTAATATCAAAAAAAGTAAAAATACTGAACTTTCTCTATATATTAAAGTTTTAATTTATATCAAATTAAATAAATGACATATATTTCACATATTTTTTTGAAAGAGTTACTCTAATTTCGAAGTCATTGTTAAATTTTTCTACGTAAAATACAAATTTAATTAGAAAAAAATCTTACAATAATTTAGTAATTAGAGCAACTCTCAAAAAAATGTGAAACTATAGGTTATTCTCTTTATCTTTATATAAAAATAAAGAATTATATCTAGAGAAAGTTCTGTATTTTCACTAAGTTTACTATATTTGATATTCCAATAATTTATTGTAGGGATGTGTAATTTATTTTTTTGTATTCAGCCACCTCATACCGTAACTTACTCCTTACACATTCAAGAAAAAAAAGATAGAATCTAACGTTCTTGGTTCGGCAAAAACATGGTAATAACATTATATAAAACGCGTGGATAACGCGTTATCGGCTAGTTAACGGTTCAACATTTTATGATAGCATTTGATAAGAAATCGTAAAAGCAAACATAGCGTCACAAGATGTGAATTAATAATTTTGTGGAGAGTGTCGTATTCCGATTGATTTATCTTGTATACATTAAAATTAAATGAATTGTCTTGTAATATATATGTAATTGACAAAATTTAATTGAAAAGATGAAAATTTTCTTTTAAACTTTGGTTTTAGAGATCGTTAGCATTTTAATTATATTTTCCTTAGAAAATTGCGTTGAATTAAAAACAAAGAAACGTAGAAAAAAATTCGTTATAAATAGTTAAAATAAAATTTAATGTAACAATTGTTCAATTCAATTCTTTCTATTGCATAGTTTATTGTATTCTAGTAAATATACAAGCTTAAAGAATGAAGAACATGGATGCATGGGAATTTAAAAATATTAAAGGCATGTAGACACAGATATTTCTTGGCATGTGTGATAGTCGGACAAAACATAAACATTAAGGTTGGTAAGAATTGCATGTAATTAGTTCTGTGATTAATTGTTTGCAACCTGAAATCAATAATTACCGTATTTTCGCGAAATAACGTCCACCCGCGCGTTATTTTGAGTACCTGTGTGTTATTTCGAGTACGCGCATGTGCGTTATTTCGAGACAAAGGGTCAATTTTCTGTTAAACCTGATTTTCAAAATAACGCCCATATGTGTTGCACATCAATGATAAAATCTAAATATACCAACTTTTTGAAAGTATTAGCGTTTTTAATTTTTTATTTGTATTTTGTTTTGCTTTATATTTCGAGTTTGCAATCGTTTTTTTTATTTCGCGTGCAAGTTTTTACAAGTGAACATGAACACAAAACGAAGTTACACTAACCGCGCTTAAACTTGAGGTCGTTTCATATGAAGAAGCAACTTACAAAATGGACTGGAAATGGGTCCAAGAATTGTGAGAACAAAAAAGAGTTCGAGATTGTCTGAGGTCGAATTTATATTTAAAAAAATTTATCAAGTTTATCGGGTGCGCGTAATTTCGGGACACCCACGGACATTATTTTGAAATCATGTATGCTATTTTTAAAGGATACGATTTTCGAAATAAAGCCCATAAGCGTTTTTTCGCGAAAATACGGTACGCATAACTGGATTATTAAATGTTACTTTTTGATCTCCCATTCAAATATGTATAAGATATTCGGAATTGATTATCGATCTAAAGTATTATACACTCTATCAAAAGTTGTTCTTTTATATTAATATAAAACATTTAGTTAAATCAAAGTTTTAATTATTAAAGAATAGATTATATTTCGAAGTAAAATTATGAGCTTAATAACAGCTACAATTTTGATATAATATATTTATATTGTTAATGTTGGTAAAGTTAAATTTAATTTATTGATATTTAATTTTGAATCTATTCAAACTCATAATATAAATAAAGATCAAATCAATAGTTAATAATAACTTATTCACTTCTTTAATTTTCTAAAGAATCTCTAATAAATTTCATGTTTCTTATTGACTAATATATCATTAATTATATAACATGAAATTTTTATAAATATTTTAAACAAGTTTTTGAAATTAATGAAGTTTAATGTTTCTAAAAATCATAGTTAAATAGAATTAAGTTAGAATTATTAAAAGATTATATAATAAAAAATGAATATTTTAAAATATTTCAAAATGATTATTTATTTTCATTCAGCATAATATTATAGAAAAATTATTTTTGCTTTTAAAATTTATCTGACTAATAGATAAGCAAGTGTTACTTATCAAAAATTATTTATTAATAAAAAGTTGATTTATTAATATAAATGATTTTTCTTTTTAAATTTTTCATTTAATATTAACTTAATATTTATTATTAATTTATTGAATCAGATTTAAATTTCAAGTCCAAGTCTAATTTGAATTAAATTCAAGTTTAAGTACAAAAATTTTTGAATTTTTTTCAGATTTAAATTCAAGTTTAGTTTGAATATTGAATTCAAAATACAAGTTCAATTTGAATTCAGTTTGAGCTCAAGATTAAACTAAAATAAATTTTTTTTTGGAATATCAATTAAAAATATATAATAATCAAAACTGATTTTTTATAATATTTATATATTTATATTTATTTATTATATAGGGAAAGATAGTATAAAATATCCAATACTATGTTAAAATACTAATTTTTATTACAGATCTTATATATATTAATTAAACTAATCAATCAGAAATAATTTAAAAAATTTTTTTAATGTATAAATATTTATTTTTATATAATAAATATCAAATTTTCAATCACATATAAAATTATAACTTTTTAAAATTATAATTAACAAAAAATATGTTTTAATAGAATTATAATTTAAATAAAAATTAACAAATTTATAAGAAAGATTTTTGTTAAAATTATTTATTTTTGAGTTATAACACTTTTCATTTTATATATAAGTATGAAATATCTTAACTATCTCTCACTATATATATATTTATCTATTTATAATTTAATTTTATTAAATATATTAAACTAATTATTAATTAAAATTCTAATAAATTAAAGTTAATTATTAAATAATTATAATAAGTTTTTGCTTAATAAACTAAATTTAAATTGGCTTTTCAAATTTTTTATTAATAATATTAATCAACTTCAGTCTAATAAGATTTAACTATATATCTATATTATATCTAGTATTATATATTTTAAATATTCAAGAATTTTTTAAACTTATTTTAATAAATTTTAATTCTTATTTAGCTTAAAAATTAAATTTTAAATACTTTTATTTAGAGTATTAAACCAGATTATTATAGTAAAATTTTGAGTTATTAGCAATTTATTCTTGTTTTAACTATTCAAAATTATATTAAATTATTTAATATATATATAATATTATAATATTTATAAAAGTCAAATTTCTAATATTAAAAAGCATATTAAATCATAAATAATAATATTATTATATTTTTCAATTTTAATAATAGTTTTTTATTTTTTAGTATTAAAAAATCTAATTTTTAATATAATTTATTGTGAAAAATTTGATATATCAGATAAATATTAATAGATTATTTTTTCAAAATAAAATTTTTAATTTTGTTTCATTTAATTAAGTTATTAGATATTGAGATTTATTTAACTATAAAAATTTTTATTATATATCTTTTATAAAAAAAAATTTTACTAATAACTTTTTTCAATTATTATTTCTTAAATTTTACTATATAAAATTTGATTGAAATTAATATAAAAATTACATAGTAAATAATTCAATTACTAAACTTTGAATCTTAATATCTTTATAATTACTAATTCAATTTTTATGAAATTTAGAATATATATTTATAAAATATAGAGCAATCTGCTTCATAGTTTGAAGGTTTAATATTACAAATTAATAGTGATAATTTTTAAAAATCTTTTTTTTAAAAAATAATAATTTTATTTTAGTAAAGTAATACTTTATTTATTATTAAATTAAAGTATAATAGAATAGTCAAAATAATATAAAAAGTGAATTTAGATCATTTATTATTTAATATAAAAATTATAAAGATTAGTTAAAATTTGAATGATTTTTATTAGAAGCAATTATTAATTTTTATATTGGTGTATTCATCTTTTTGCAATGGCCATAATTAGAAATACTTGTAATATTGATTATTATTATCTAATAAAAATTAAGTGAAAATTAATTATTAATAAGAAAATAAATACTATAATTTGAAATATATATTTTGAAATTATAAATTATTATAATATCAAAATATAATTAATAATTATTATATAAATTTTAAAATATAAGACTTTAAAATTTAAAAAAATTTAAATAACTTTACATTTTAACAATAAGTATAATACTTAAGAAAATATGAAAATTATAAAATATTTTTATTTAATTATTAATTTTTTTGCGGGATAATGATCATTGGTATCATAAGTATCAGGGCAAAGCCTCCGATAAAAATGTTGAAACCGTAATTTGTATGGCTTTATTCTTAATATAATTTATTGAATATTCTTAGAAAATGCTTTTTATATCCGGCCGAGCGCCAACTATGTCTTTAAATTTAATAAATAATTCGATTCGATTACTATTCATAAGATGCAGTCGCGACATAAAAGTCTTTTATCATGAAAATCAATAAAATATAAACCTGTTCTGTTTTTGCTTATGCCAAAAGTTATCGTATAACCTTATTTATTATAATGTCTATTTAACGTTAATATAAGTTTGTTTGTGCTGCTATACATGATATAGAAAGGGATTGCAATATTTGTATCGGAGGCTTTGAAACGTCAGCCATATCACCGCTTTTGGCAACATTAAAGTCACGCAAGAAAACGACATTTAATTGAGTATATAGAGTCAGAACATCATAACATTTTCTTTCTTTCAGAATATATAAATTATCGGTATTCTAATAACAGTACTTTAAAACAAAGAAAGAACATTAATACGTAAACCAATAAGTCGATCAATAATTTAATAAAAATGTCTTCAAAAATAACTCTCTCCACTTTTATTCATACTCATTCTTGCTCTTCTAATCTCGAGTCCTTATATTTATGCATTTCCATTCGACAAGAGACAAGATAAAAATACCCATATATACTGCATATTATTTTGCGCCAGTTTTTAAATGTCATTATATCAAGATTCATTATTATAAAATCTTTATATCATGTCTCACCATTGGAATTCATGGATTTTCCATTCAGGATAATGGACATTTTAGATCTCAATTATGTTTCACATGAAATTTGTAAACATATTTGGATAAATCCAACTATGCTATTGTTTATGAATTTTGTATTGAAAATTATAATAAAACAAAATCTTTTGTAAGAGTTTCAAATTAAGCTTTTATTATATTAAGAAAATTATCAAATCTCTAAGTCACCTATTTTTCAGTTACTTTTTATAATTGCATCTCTCTATAATTATCTAATTTTTCTTTTTCAAGAATAGCAAATATAGAAAGACTTGACTGTCTTTATATTAGTTATTATTTTTATAATAAATGATTTAGATTTAAAAAAATTTTTATTTTATATGTATTTTATATTTATTAATTAATTAAGTAAATATGATAAAAATATATTAATTATAAAACTTTAAAGTATAAATTACTTATAAATTAATATAATTTTATAATTTATATATATTTACTTAATATATTATAATTTAATTGATAAGTTTTTCTTGTTAAAAATTAATAATTTTTGTATTTTTTAATATAATTATAATTTAAAATATTATAAAGATTTATACTCTTATTTATATAAGTTATTAAAATTATTATATATAATTATAAAAAATTATAGCTACTATTATTTTTCTGGAAATAAATGTTGTTTGATTACTATTTTTTTAAATTTTAAAATAAAAAGTGCTGCTTATTTCTAAATTAATACAATATGAAGAAGATTTATTTCACATTTTTTCAAAAAATTCATTATAATTATTCCTTTCTGATTCAAGAAAATTAATATTTTTTAATTAATTTAAGAGAATACTTATTACAATTCAAATAGAATATAATAACAGATATAAAAATAAATATGAGTATAATTTATTTAAGAATTTTTGCAGAATTGTACTAAGATTTAGCCAAAAGTTCTCCCAGACCTCAGGTCAATTTTTTTTAGTTTTTTGAGGATAAAGAAGGATGATTATTGCATAAACAGTAGAAATATAGATATATAAGCATAAATATCAGGTGATTTATTATATTTCATGCGTATTTCAGCAAATGCACACAGCTAAAAATCTGTTCGCCATTACATTCCGTGCGGACTGTATAGTGATACTTATTCATAATTTTGATCTAAACTGTGGTGGTGTGATGTTTATTTCCGGGAGAATATCGGTATCTCTATGACTCATGCTTTTGCATAATACATGTACACGCAAAAGTAAATTATGAACCCAACAAACCTAAACAAGTCGTCAACACCTTTTTTAAATATCGTAAATATAATTTTGCTTTCACCTATGATTTAATAATATAAATGATAATTCTATATTATGACTTGAGACAACGGATTTCCCAATTGCAATAATACAAGAAACGATTTTTTTCCCCGTAAATTTTTCTCGATTTCCGACCAAAAAGAGAATGTATGCGTGTTAACGTAACCATTATTTTTATTTAATTTTTTCAAATTAATTAAATTAAAATTAATAAAAGTACAGTGTTAAAAAATACATTCTAAAAAGAATACAATTGATTGTCGTTATTATATTAATAATGTTGATAATGTTGGTGATTATAGTTTTACGTGGTTTTATATGAATGTTGCCGTTTAAATAAAATGGTAAATAAATAAGTTATTTTTCTATTGTTTTATACATGATTATTATTTCAAAATAATAATCTAAAGGCGTCTATAATGTCGTCGCGTATTTATAAAAATTCTAAATTTAAAATGTCCCTTTTTCTTATTTCTCTATCTTATTGTCATAAAAAGAATTTGAATATCTCTAACTCAGCGTTTAATTCTGATGTTTGATCAAATTTTTCTGCTTCTAAATATGCCAAATAATTTTCCCCGAAGAGCAGACTTGCTATTTCTGGTTCTACCAACGTGGCATTTCGTTTTTTCATTTTCATTATATATCGAATATCGCCTTCGAATTTACGAAGTTCTTCGAAGAAATTGGTAAAACATAGAGAATCAGTATTTCTATTGCTGTGGCAGTTGATGTTCGGATCTGACTTTGGATTTTTCTCGTTGATTGGGAGCTTATATTGAGAGGCTAAAGTTTTCAAATTTGATAGTAAGTCTAGTGGTGATATGATTCTGCTCACTGACACTCCAGGCGTCAACTGTAGTTGTGATAATGGTTGGTTTTCGCACATGTTACAGTAAGAATCAGTTATTCAAAGTGTTAAATGTTGCTTGTCGTTTCTGTTTTTCCAGCACAATATTAAGAATAAAAATTGTAGATTTTTCAAAGTTATTGAATTAAAAAAAGAGCAATTGCACTTTTTATATAGAAATTCGCTTTATTATTCTTGTCAATAATAACGGATCAACAAACTAGGAAAACAAAGACGGCCGTTGCCATAGGTGATCATCATTCGGTATTAAGGCAAGGGTTGCACCAATTGTTCCTTTTTGTACATGGGTGGACATGTAAACTACAATTAACTGCATCATTATATCAAATGCATTTAACAATGGAAGTAATTATATACATGTAGATGACAAGTGCTTAATTTTATTTATGCTACAAATTGAGCAATCAGATGTTTATTGCTATCGATAATGATAATTCATCATCTATTATTTTATTGTTGAAAAATAAAACGATCATTTATCGTCAACAATTAAAGCCAGAAATCTTTTTTTGCTGCGGAATATCAAGGATATTATTGAAAATACTAAAAATGTATTTACAAAAGTTTCAAGTAATAAGATAAATATAATATTTCTATAAATAATTCAATTCTAATTTAAGAATCTTCTTATAGCTCTTACTTCAATTCGGGAATTTTCTAGGTAAATTCCTTATGTTGAACAAAAAGGCTAACGCTAACGAGGCTAACGATGTACATGTTAATACTGATACTTATTCGATGCATCTCCTGATGCGTTATTCACGTTCAAACATTTTCATTCCAAAAAGGAAGTGCATGTATATGTGAATACCAATGATAAATTTTCAGACACATGATTGGTTATCTATTATAGACAAATTTGTTTGGGATTTTTTTGTTAATCAAGAACTACCCGCCCGCTACTATATAAAAATGTCATTTTTAAATGAACTACTTAAAATGTTGATACCGAGTCTTTAAATAATCTTCCATTCTCATCTCACAAATAGTCAAAATTCTGAAATGGCAAAACCCAACTCTTCGAACGTTATGAAAAAAGAAACAACACTTTGCTTTACGGAATTTTTTTCGCAACTACGTTCCGAAGAAAACTCATTAAATTCAAATATTGAAAGAAAAAATGAACAAAATAACGTTAACTCATTGCAAACATTTCATTTTTTACTTGAAGACGAAAAAAATTTGGTTTTTGATGAGCCTGAACAGATGATAGTTATAAAGGAGGATGGTGATGACGACGACGATGACGGCGACGGCGACGACGACGACGACGACGACGACGATGATGAGGATGAGGATAAGGATGAGAACGAAGACAATAAAAATGAGGATGAAAATATCATTCATCAATTTCATAAACCATCACAAGGGAAAGGATTAATTTTTTCAATAGCAAATCGACATAATTCGTTTTCAGCGGTTATAATAGATTAATATTTAATATCAAATAGACATGTACAGTTAATAGTTTATTTTATTCATAAATTCGGTTTACAATACTCCCTCTCATTGCAAGCCAAAAACATTTATTTTAACGTTAAAAGTAATCATCATCGTTGTCTTTAATAAAAGTTTCGAACCACTATTGTTTTAATAGTTTTCATTCTAAATCTTTACACACACTGATATCGACCAAAAGTTGTGAAATGTACAGAGGATGCCAAAAATTTACCAATAAATTTTACAATCGTCCTATTAGTACGAACTCGTATGTCATATCTTTTGTGCCAATAGCGGAAAACTTCGGCCGTTGTTCTACATGAACTTATAAGGCGATGTAGGCCGATCCGTTAAGATTAATCTATTTATATACTTGTAATAAAATTACAGAATTCCATAGAATGGAATCAATTAAACATCATTCGCAAGAACAAATAATCCAATTGTTAGAACATCAAAAAACAAAATCTCCGCTCGAATCAATTATAAATTGGGGGCAAACTCTCAACATCGTCGAACCTTCAAATATCACAATTAATAACCCTGTTCCAGTTAATAATGAGTTGTCAAACTTTAATTCTCGTCTCATAGCATGTCCTCAAAGAGATTCATTATGCTTTACTAAATTCTTTAAAGAGCTTCGAGAAAAAGAGAATATTACCAACAGCATACAAAATACTTCAACTAAGCGACATGCTACATTAATTTCATCGCCACAATTTATTCTGAATATGCTTGAGAATAAAAGTATGCATATTTCCCTAGCAAAAAAAATAAATTTGACCATTGACCAAGTAATAGAATAAAACAATTTAGAATAGATTTGTGTGAAAATGAATGCCTACATCTATCAAGAATATAAATACTATGCATAAACATAAAATTTCTTATATCTTATAATATTTACTTAAAAGTTAATTTTAGACAATTTATTATAAAAATTAATTATTAAAAATCAAATAATTAATCAAATGAATATTATTTAACTATTAATTGTATAAAAGTCTTTAATTTTATTAATAAATTATATTTTTTTAGTTTAAAATAATCTAAACTTTTTCTAATTACTATAATAATCAAACATATTCAACTCTCTATAATAAAATTTTTGTTTTAAGTTTTGAAATAATTAAAATTACTAAACTAAAATTTAAATATTTTTATATTAATAGCAAAAAATTTATATAATTTAATAAGCTAGTTTTTGAAAATTAAATTTTAAATTTTGATATTTAATTATTTTTATACAGTGATGACCAAAAGTAGTAACTCAGGGGCTAAATTTATTAATAAAACATAGTGAAAATTAAAATTTTCTCTTTATATTAGAATTTATAATTTTATTAAGAAATAATTTTTATTTTTATATTAAAATAAAGTTTATCAGTTGTAGTTTAACATATATT